CGATTTCTTCAGTTCAAGCAGATAAAGAGGCAGTAGGTCTCGCGCTCGACCCACTCACACGTGGTATCAGAGCCCGGCTCCGACATCAAAGGCTCAACCGTCTTCGGAGAAGATGAGCTCGGGATCGACCGCTGGGATCTTCATGGCAGATGGGTTCTCTCAAACCCGTCCTCCGAGGTTTGAAGGCGTTCACTATGGCTATTGGAGAAATCGAATGGAGCTGTTCATAGGATCAACTGATCCTGACCTATGGAACATTGTTCTGGATGGCCCACTGGAAGTGAAGGAAGCTCGCGGCAACTGGACTGAGACAGACAAGAGAAATTTTCAGTTAAATTCGAAGGCTACAAACCTCATGTACTGCGCACTGGGACCAGAGGAGTATCACAGGGTGACAGGCTGCAAGTCCGCAAAGGAAATTTGGGACAAATTGCAGATTGCACATGAAGGCACATCTCATGTCAAGATTTCGAGGATAAACATTCTTAAGCAAGAGTTCGAGTCATTCATCATGAAGCCTGAAGAATCAATCAAGGAAATGAATGATCGATTCACTACGATTGTAAACAGCCTGAGAAATTTGGAGCTGGAATATGCTAGTGCCGATCTGGTTCGCAAAGTCCTTTGGGCTCTCCCAAAGAGATGGACGCCAAAGGTCACTGCAATCGAGGAATCCAAAGACCTCACCAAACTCAGTCTGGATGAATTGATTGGTTCCTTGATTACTCACGAAGACAAATTAAGAAGAGAAGAACTAGAGGAAACCAAGAAAGAAAAGAAGGGGATAGCATTTAAAGCTACCACTCAAGACGACGAATTAGACTGCTTGGATGAAATGGAAGATGACGAGCTTGCAATGCTAAGCAAGCATGTGGCAAAGCTTCTTAAACTTCGAAGAGAAAAGAAACGAGGTGGATTCCCAAACAGATCGAGGGATGGTGAAGCTGACAGAGAAAGCAACAAAGGTGGAAGACTGGGGTTCAGAAATCGAAAGGAAGGAACGAGCAATGAGAAGCCTCAACCACAATCTGGCTGCTTCAGATGCGGAAAGACAAGGCATATTAAAGCCGAATGTCCACTAGGCAAAAAGGAAAGAGCTTTTGCAGCGACTTGGAGCTGCAGCGAGGAGGATGAAGACGATGATGAAGCCACTCCAAAGTTCAGTGCATACATGGCAATTGACCAGCTTGAAGAGGAAACGTCTCAGGTAAATGCTTACTACTCAGACTCTAGTAGTGATGAAGATGAAATGCTTGATGAAACAATTAGAAACATTCAGAACGAGTTTATAACTGTGAAAAACAAGTACATTCTAATTAAAGCCAGTCATGAAAATCTACAAAATGAACTTGAGCAAATGAAAAATGAAAAAACTAAGGCAGAACACAAGATACAGAATCTAGTGAAAGAAAACAGTAGGTTAAAAGAAGAAGTTGATACTGCTAAAGCAGAATTATCCCAGATAAAAGGAAGAACTAAAACAAAGGCAGCATGGACAAGAAATTCAGATGTTCATAAGAATCATGAATGCTTTTACTGTCATCAAACTGGTCATTACATTGCAAATTGTAGAAAACGCATTAGTAAAGAAAACAGGATAAAACAACATGAGAACAAATGCTTAAAACATCCTCACAAAAACTACACTAACTTAACTCACTATAGTAAAGTATCTAAGCTGGTCTGGATACCCAAAACTAAATAAGCATACTTATCTTGCAGACCTGTCTCCAAGTGGGCATGGAGGGCAGCGTTTGGATACTTGATAGTGGGTGCTCACACCACATGACTGGTAATAAAAATCTCTTCTCAAAACTAACTCTTAAAAACAAAGGGAAAGTCTTTTTGGGGACAATTTCAGCACTGAAATATTAGGAAAAGGCACAGTAGGCACTGTCCCATCCATAAGCAATGTGCTACTAGTGAAAGACTTAAAGCATAATCTCTTATCTATTGGACAGCTCTGTGGAAATGAAAACAGGGTTGTCTTTGAACAAGACAAATGCTTTGTGGAAAACATAATAAGTAAAAAACTCATACTAACTGGTAACAGAAAAGGAAAATTGTTCTCAATAGATCTTGGAGACAAGGATGCCTTCAATGAAACATGTCTTGTCTCAATTGATAAAAATGATCAATTTGAATGGCACAGAAGACTAGGACACGTAAGTATTGGAATCTTGTCAAAATTGGTAAATTTGGGAATAGTTAGAGGGATTCCAAAACTTCTAAGCAAGAAGGAATTCTTCTGTGATGCATGTGCAAAAGGAAAACACTCTAGGTCCTCTTTTAAAACCAAACCTGTCATATCTACATCTAGACCATTAGAACTTCTTCATCTAGATTTGTTTGGCCCTAGTAATGTCAAAAGTCTTGGTGGTAAACACTATGCATTTGTAATTGTAGATGACTACTCAAGGTTCACTTGGGTACTGTTTTTGGCTTCGAAGGATGAAGCTTATCAAAACTTCAAAGACCTGGTCAAACGTTTAGAAAATGAAAAACAATCAAAGATAGGAAGCATAAGAAGTGATCATGGAGGTGAATTTGTGTCTGAAAAATTTGAAGCTTTTTGTAACAAAAAGGGGATAACTCATAACTTCTCTGCTCCCAGAACCCCACAACAAAATGGTGTGGTGGAAAGAAAGAACAGAACCTTAATTGATATAGCTCGAACAATGCAGAATGATTATGGAATTGCAAAACAATTCTGGGCAGAAGCAATTAATACAGCCTGTTATGTCACCAATAGAGCTCTTATCAGATCTAAGCTTAATAAGACACCTTATGAACTCTGGAAAGACAGGAAACCAAATTTAGGTTACTTTCACCCTTTTGGGTGCAAGTGTTTCACCTTAAACACCAAAGATAACTTGGGGAAATTCGACTCAAAATCAGATGAATCTATATTCCTTGGATATGCTGTTAACAGCAGGGCTTATCGTGTGTTTAATAAACGGACCATCAAGGTTGAGGAGTCCGTTCATGTGATATTTGATGAAACATTGACTAAGTGTGCAGAAAGTGTCGATGAGGATGATGATTTAGGGTTGGGAACAGTTCACACAAGTTATAAAACTCCTGAGGTTCAGGAAACAGAAGCTGTGCCTGCAGATGAAGGTGGCAGAATGAAAGAAAAGGACAGCAATCCTCAGGCACCACCTCATATAGTTCGACGACACCCCCCATCTCTAGTCATCGGAGACCCCAGTCGAGGTATGCTTACTCGTTCTAAGTCTTATGCTGAGCACACTGCCTTTGTAGCTCAATTTGAACCTAAATGCATAAATGATGCAATAAATGATGAGTACTGGTCAGCAGCTATGCATGATGAAATGAACCAATTTGCCAGGACTCATGTTTGGGACTTAGTCCCTAGACCTAAGGACAGAATAATCATTGGAACCAAATGGATTTTTTGAAATAAAACTGATGAACTTGGAATCATAATTAGAAACAAAGCTAGGTTAGTAGCTCAAGGCTATTGTCAGGAGGAAGGGGTTGATTTTGAAGAAACATTTGCCCCTGTAGCCAGGTTAGAAGCCATACGTCTCTTATGTGCCTTTGCTGCCTCTAAAGGTTTCAAGCTGTATCAAATGGACGTAAAAAGCGCGTTTCTAAATGGTGAAATAAAAGAGAAAGTGTATGTCTCTCAACCTCCTGGGTTTGAGGACTCAGAACACCCTGAATACGTGTTTAAACTGAATAAGGCCTTGTATGGACTCAAGCAGGCTCCTAGAGCCTGGTATGAGAAGCTAAGTAATTTCTTGATTGAGAAGGGTTTTCATCGAGGACAAGTTGACAAAACCTTGTTCATTAAAACTGAAAAAGAAGACACCTTGCTTGTTCAAGTCTATGTCGATGACATAATCTTTGGCTCTACGAGTCAAAAATTATGTTCTGAGTTTGAAAATGATATGAAGAATGCCTTTGAAATGAGTCTTATGGGGGAATTAACATACTTCCTTGGGTTACAAGTAAAACAAACCAGTCAAGGAATCTTCATCAGTCAGTCAAAATACTTACAGAATATGTTAAAACGTTTTGATCTCAACAATCTAAAAGCAGCTTTGACCCCCATGGGATCTTCTGTTAAACTAACATCTGATGAATCTGGAAAATCAGTAGACTGTAAGAAATTTCGTGGAATGATTGGCTCTCTGTTATATCTCACTGCGAGTAGGCCTGATATTATGCATAGTGTATGTGTGTGTGCACGATTTCAGGGTAATCCCAAGGAGAGTCATTTCTCTGCCCTTAAACGTATTTTTCGTTATCTAGTAGGGACTCCCTCTCTAGGTCTCTGGTACTCCAGCTCATCCAGTTTAGATCTGATTAGCTACAGTGATTCTGACTATGCTGGATGTGTAGTTGATAGGAAGAGCACCTCAGGTGCTTGTCATTTCCTAGGTTCCTCTCTTGTGTCATGGTTCAGTAAAAAGCAAAGCTCAGTGGCTTTATCCACAGCTGAAGCAGAGTATATTGCTGCTGGCTTTTGCTGTACTCAAGTCTTGTGGATGAAATACCAACTTGAAGACTATGGTCTCAAGTTAGGTTCTCTTCCTATCCTGTGTGACAACACCAGCGCCATTAACATGACTAAAAACCCAGTCCAACACTCTCGAACCAAGCATATAGAGGTTCGTTATCATTTTATTCGAGACTTGGTCCAGGAAGGAAAAATACACTTAGATTTTGTGGGTACTGATTCTCAATGGGCTGACATATTCACCAAACCCCTGCCCATTGATAAATTCTTACCTATTAGACGCGAACTTGGCATGTTTACTCTAGAAGAAATATTGGAAATCTCTTAGGATTCTGTGATATCTCAATTTCCTTAAATCCTTCCAAAAAGTGTCCATTAAGTCACTGTCTCGGATAATCAGCAGTCATCTACTGGATATCCAATGGATACTTGAATCAAGAATGATTCACTTACCCCTACCCATTCTTGTCGAGACTCTATAAACTCAGCAGTTTCCTCATCATCCAACCCCACTCTCAAAACAAAAACATTCCCACAGATCTCGCTCACAACCTACCATGGCCTTCAACAATGCTCAGCTCCGCCCTGTTGTGGTGTTCAAAAATCAAGGCTTTCGCAACGCCATAGTGTACTCAAGGTACCTTCGTTGCTTCCGTGATCGTCCCATCTACCCATCCTTTACCATCTCTCCTTCATCCTTTTCTAAATACGACATGGACATTCCCTCCTTGGTTGCTGGACTAGGGTGGGAATCATTGACTGAAGATCAACGGTTTCTCCACTGTCCTGAGGCAGTAAGGCTTTTCTATGTCAATATTCGTCGTGACAGTGGACCTGAGCCACAGTCTTTCACAACCATGGTCTATGACCATGAAATCACTGTCACTCCTGCCTTACTGGCATCGGTTCTCTCTCTACCTCACTCTGGGATTCTTGCCAGTTTCGAGAGTGACTTTGTTGAACATGGGTTCGACTTCCTTGCTGCTCTTGACCATGTAACACGGGACACTGGCAAGGTCTTCCCCACTCGACTCTCAGCTGGTCGACTTCCTGACGATCTAAAGGTCCTTCATTTCTTCATCACCCGATGCTTCCTTCCACGAGACGTTACTAGTGCTGGTCTTCTCCACTCTGACGATCTCTGGATTCTGAGTAATGCTTGTGCTCATCAACCTATCAGTTATGCATCCTTGATGTTCGCTCATATACTCAAGTTCGGTGGTGGTGGCTACAGTTGCTCTACCTTTTGGACCTCTCATCACTCGTTACTTGCATCGCCTAGGCATAGATCTCCGGGACAAGGTGGTTGTTTGCAACATCCATGATGATTTGCGTCCCAATCATGTTCTGGTTCGCCTTGATGCCGACGTTGGCCGCCGTAAGCTCGTCTCTGGCTCAGGGGGAGACACAGCTCACTGCCCCATTTTCTCTCCTGCTGATCCCATCTTTGATAGTCTACTTCCAGCCCTAACTCAAGCTGCTGTCATAGCCATAGATGGTGAAGTCAAACGAAGAAGGGAAACTGGTAGTGGAAAAACTACCAGTCATTTGGTATGCAAAGAACGTTTGGAACTCATGGATTTTGATGAAGCAAGGCCTGCTCCAGACGACTTTGATCCAATTACTCCTGACTCAAGCTCTGATGATGAGATATCAGACTATGAGTCACCTCCTGGTTATCCCTTCTAGAGAATCGATGGTGGTACTTAGGGGGAGTCACAAGTTATGACTAGGGAAGTCGTGTAGTTCGTTTGAGTCTGTGTTTGAATGGTGTCAGTGTCAAGTTGGTTTTCCAGTTGTTTGATTGTTGATTTGAATATCGAGACTTGTATTTCTGTTGAACTGATTAATCAGGAATAAAAACATCCCTTGTCACTCTTGCCAGCACTTTGCATAGAACAGACTACACCAATAGTTTGCTGAGTGTGTGCAGGAAAGAAACTAGTGCAGTAGGGAGAGCCATTGACAAGCTTAGGGGGAGCATGTTAAGGGAAGCTCGTCAATAGGGAAAGAATCAACAAATAAAATCAAGACCAAGATGGAAAGTCTCAAAGAAGGAAACCTGGAGCTAAATTACAGCGATTCAAACCTCAATCAGACAACGACTATCTTGAAGAGAGCAGACTATATAACCACGAGGTTGAGCAATGTAGACGACAGAGTTTTCCGGCAAATCAAAAGAACTGTGTTGAGTGAAAAGTGGTGAACTTTTGATAGAAAACTCGGTTAGCTAATCGGAGAGAATAGCTAGTGAATCTGAGTGAACAATCAGGGAGATTAGAACTCAGCTTTGAAGTTAGGTTGATTGGCAGGGAGCTGATCATCCTGAACTGTGTAATCACGATCAAGGAAACGGTCTAGTAGATTTGTAGGAATCCTCAAAAGGAGAGATTCCTACCGTGGATTAGTCGATATTGGGATCCTTCTTCTCCCAATATCGGATACCACGTAAAAAGGGTTGTGATGTCCTTGTGTTCTTCATTTTTGAGCTTTGGTTTATACTCTGCTTGTGTGTTTGATCACTGTGTTCAGATACAGGGGAGTCTTCGAAGCAGGGAGGTGAGCTCGATTAAAGGAGAGAAGCTAACAGCAGGCCTAGAAAGTTTATTCGGAGGCCAAGCCCAGTTTACTTGTGAATAAACGAGTGGGCTCCAAGCCCAAAATTGTTGCAGATAATCTTATATCTATTTTGATTTAATTACCAGTTATTTCAATTCTCTTGTCTCGCACAAATTCGTAACTCAAACCCTAGAACTGCATTTCCTCACTTGTTCAGCAACTGTGCCGATTAGGGTTTTGTAGGAACTCGATTTCTTCAGTTCAAGCAGATAAAGAGGCAGTAGGTCTCGCGCTCGACCCACTCACAGTTTACCTGCTCCTGGGGTGTGGTCGATTCCTTCATCGCCTGGCAGTCTTCCACCGTGTGATGGGTGCTCTCGCACCAATGGCAGAGTAGCGCCTGCTGCTGTCCGGTCCCTGAAATCATCCCGGAACGATCGATAGCTGAAACTAGCTTCGACACCACCTGCACCAAATCAGAGGAATGGTTTCCCACAGAATGTACACCTCGGCTTGGTGCTCTCCTCGACCTCCTAGCAGTGCCCCAATCATACCCGTTCTCTACCATCTCCTCAAAGAGTTGATTCAGCTGTGGCGGTGTTTTGGTCAGCATGTTCCCGCCACAAACTGAGTCAATCAGCTGCTTGTCTTCTGGGAAGAGGGCGTGATAGAAGGTTCCCACCTTGAAAGCATCATTGAAACCATGATTGGGACACCTCAGGAAGAAACTGTTGTATCTCTCCCAAGCATCCCTGATGGTCTCATCTTCATCCTGAGCAAAATGGGTAATTTGCTTCTGCAGGTCCGCCGTCTTGGATGGAGGATGGTAGCGGGTGAGAAACTTGTCCGCCAGGTTGGCGAACGTGGTGATGGAGCCCGGAGGTCGAGTGTCTAGCCACTCCTTGGCCTGCCCCTCCAGGGTGAATGGGAAGTACCTCAGCTGGATGGCATCTGCTGGAACCCCATTGATCTTGATTCCATCGATGAGCTCGTGGAATTGACTGAGATGTGAACGAGGGCACTCCCCCTCTTTGCCTCGGAACACCACTGAACCGCGCAGCATGGTGATTACTGAGGTGCTCACCTCGAAATTATTGGCTGGGACATGAGGGTGTTGAATGGGCGACCTCATGTCTGCAGCCCTGGCGGTCCAGTAGGATCCCATGGTCTGCTCCCCATGATTGACCACATCATGGTCCGGTGGGTCAGCCATCTCCTCTTCGTCAGTGATCTATAGCTGTGCTATCGCCTCCTCCGCAGCCAATCGCGCCTTTAGAGCCCGCTTGAAGTTTCTGCAGGTTCGTTCAAGCTCCTGGTCTAGTGGTAGTAGATCTCCCGACTGGCTACGGGTCATACACTACCTGCACACAATCAGCAGAAGCAACTATAGGTGTCAATCGGGCGGGTTCGGGCGGGTTCGGGCTGGGTTCAATCGGGTTCGGGTTCAAACAGGTTGCGGGTTCATCGGGTTCATCGGGTTCGGATTCAATCGGGTTGCGGGCAAATCGGGTTGCGAGTTCATCGGGTTTTGGGTCGGGCGGGTTGTGGGCGGGTCAGGTTTCGGGTTGTTCGGGCCAGCGCATCAAGTAACTTAACTCATTACTCATTACCAACTTACACATTTTATTACACTAACTCAAAATATTTTCTCAACTTTTTAACCAATTTATTTCTACCTCGTATATATATACTTTATTTTTTTGAAAAAAACTAGTCAAAATATTAAATCAATTTGTATGACTTGCAAACTTGTTATGTAATTAATCATAATTGGTAAAGTATTATAGCTAATAGTAATGGTGATATCAATATTTGCAACCAAAAGACACCGTTAATTGTTTATTTGATATTTTAGTAGTAATTCAGTAGTAATTGGATTAAAGTATCTCGTTTAATATAACCATGCAAATCTGGTATTTGGCGTGTGGTATTTGGCAAAAGCATAGTGATAAAAGGAGTTATTTCAAAAAAATAACTCATTGCCCAAATAACTTTAGTAAACTGTTGCCAAACGAGTTATTTGTAAAATTGTTCGAATTATCCTAAAAATTGAACCATTAAAGATTAGCTATCACATTTTGTAAAATTATTGTGACTTCAATCATAACTTACTCAATAGCATATATCCTATACACTTAGCTTTACCCTCAATCAACAATATTAAGTTAGTATATGTTGTTGATTGTATACTCTAAACCATCAATACATTATACACTAACCACATAACCTATACCCTAACCATATGTCCTTGAGTTGTGATTTTGCTAGTATAGTTAATTTAAAAGTGAAATTCATACTTTGATTTTCAAAACATAGATAAATAGTGATATTTGCTAATTGTTATACCCTAACTATATATCCTATACTTTACACCACATACCTTGTACCCTAACCACGTACCATAAACATAAATTAAAAAGGGATCTCCTGCCGTTAAAGACTTCAAATGACTTCAAGTGAACATATGTTAATAAAAAAACTTAGAACTGTCAAAACCATCAATATCTTATACCCTAACCATATACACCCTAAACCATATGTACCTTATACCTTATACCCTAACCATATACTTTATATCCTAAACAACGAACCGTCAAAGATTACTTATCAAGTTTAGTATAAATTTTTGTAACTAATGGTTAATTTATTTAGAGTAAATACAATTTAATATCAAAACCTTTCATTTTAAACAATATAATAGCCAAATCTTTTCAAAAACAATTTAACATCCACATCGTCAACTTTCTGTCTGTTTGACCATTAGTTGGCACTTAAAAAAAGTTCGAAATACGACACTTCATCAATATTCATCGATATCTTCTCTGAAAAACCACCAACATATCGTAGTTCCAAACCCGAGAAGTCCATGACTCCACTATGATGGTATAGAATATCTAAATATTCAGTCATCTGCAATGCCAAAACAAGAAAACAAAGTTGTATTGTGACAATTTCCCCTAAACAAAACTTTCTTGAAGTGTCAACTAACGGTCAAACGAACGGAAAGTTGACGATTTGGATATTAGATTGTTTTCGAAAATGTTTGGCTATTATATTATTTAAAATAAAAGGTTTGGATATTAAATTGTATTTACCCATTTATTTAATAGCCCATAAAAAATTACATACATATATACATATTAGCCTTCAAAGCATATAAGAATAATTTTAAACAGTCATGCCCTCCATGTAAAAGTTAAAGATTCATATTTCAAAAGCTAAAATTATGAAAAACCAAAAAATTGAAAACACCAAATTTGTTTCCTTCTTTCTTTTCACAAAAATACTAAAATTTCCCTCCTTCTTTCTCATTCCATACATTAGAAAAACTCAATTTTCCCTCCTCTTTCTCTTCCATAAAATTGAAAAAACCAAATTACTCTTTTTTTTCCTTCTACAAAAAGTTGAAAAGTCAAAAGTTTCCCTCCTTATTTCTCTTTCATAATCAAAAGAATCAAACTTTCTCACTTCTTTCTCTTCCCACATATCAAAACCACCAAAATTCTCACTTGTTTCTTTTCTAAAAAATTCAAAGAACCAAATTTCCCTCTTCTTTCTCTTCCCAAAAACTTGAATACACCAAAATTGCCCTATTCTTTTAAAAACATCAAATTATTAAATATATTACTTTACTTTATTTATATTTAATTGATAATTATATTGAATAGTTAAATTAACCAAAATTTTAATTTATATATTATATTAGTATTGTCATGATCTCAAGTGACCTTCATGTTTCAATTTTTGTAATTTTCTTAAAATACGTAATATCAAGTGAGTTTCATATTTTTAAAATTTCTTATACGAAATGAAAAAATAATTTTACTTAAGTTTAGAATGAAAAACTTTATTTTGAAAAACTATGCATTTTATATTTTTATAATTATTCAAGTGGATTAGATGAAATTCGGGTTGAGTCGGTCGGGTTACGGGTTAGTCGGGTTTGGGTCAATCGGGTTTGGGTTAATCGGGTTGCGGGTCAGTCGGGTTGCGGGTCAATCGGGTTCGGGTTAATCAGGTTGCGGGTTAGTCGGGTTGCGGGTTAGTTGGTTTGCGGGTCAATCGGGTTGCGGGTCGGGCGGGTTACGGGTTGTTGACTTTTAGTCAATTCGGGTTGCGGGTCGGGTTGATCGGGCGGGTTAATCGGGTCGGGCTATGTTTTGACACCTGTAGAAGCAACCCGTGAAGGCACACAGGTGGAAGAGATAAAATGCAGTAAATAAAAAGCTAGAGTAACAGATTTGCGCGTTTCCCCAATAACCTAGAGATCCCCGGCAACGGCGCCAAAAACTTGACACGCCAAAACACAACACCAA